GTGCCAATAAGCCACACCCCTCATGAATATAATTAACTACCCTCAAAATCGTGGCGCGCTTCGCACGCCATTTAATTGTCACCACTCTATCTTCTTCAGCCCCACCAGTTCCAAATTCCTTCCTACGGCTCTGGTGTATATGTATAAGCGGACATGAGACTGTGCTTAGAACTCAACTTTCTAAATAGCAATAGAACTGTATTAATTAAAACAAATCAACAACTGATTCACGACTAGTACTGAGTCTAACATCAGTAGAACTTGGTACAATTTCTCTCTTTTGTTGATCTACAGTTTTATGTGGTTCAGTTACATCTAAAAGAGGTTCATCATCTTCATCTTGTTTCTTGAATAGCTTCTTAATTAGAGCATCATAACATTTCATATGTGATAACTGCAGGTGAAAATGATAAGCAACAATCAAAATAAAACTGAAAATAAAAACAGATAAACAAGTATTGTACCAGACCAATACTTTACTCTCTTCATTAACAGCTACAGATAGACCAACCATGATACATAAGTTAAACAAGAACCAAACTTCAAGCACATTGTTGATTCTTTTCTTGTAAACACCACCAAAACAATGACTCAATGATAGCACAATAACTAACACTGTCAATAGCATTGACAATAGGAAGGAGTGAGACTGAATGAAACTGTCAACTAAAGTAACTGATAATAGTACTGGTATCCTAGCCACTAGCAGTAGACCAGGCCAGAACCGATACTCATCTTTCATTGGACCACTATAAGCATCAATAATAGGCTTGAAATGACTCCACAATTTTCTGAAAACTTTGAAATTAGAAAGATACTTCTCAAAAAAACAATTAAGTAAAAGGAACAGTGTGTATGGTATGACAAAGAAAACAGTCACCAATAGGGCAAATCCAAATAGTCCAGCATGCTTCCCTTTAGCATATTCAACATTAGGGTCCTCATACCATAAACTAACTGATCTTACTGACTCATTTGTACAGTGAAGAGTTACCTCACGCTTGTGTAGTACAATAACAATAGTGCGTACTAGTTTAGTATATGAGAGAAGGAAGAGTGAGATAGAACAGGAACAGC